GCAGTATGGGGTGAAGAGGAAGAGGAAGAAGAAAATGACGAAAATACCCTCGCCCCAACTACTCATTCCGACCCTTCACAGCAGTTTGAGGAATGGGCATGGGAGTCTTTTGGTTCACTTTCAAACATGACAGATGCTTATTCTGATCAAGAAAGATCACAACTTGCATTGATTCAAAGATTTCTTGCAGGTGGTGGTTTTAGCCTTGGTGACCACCACGAACCACCATCTTTGCCGCCAGATGATGGCGGCTCGTATCTTGATAACACTATCAAGGACCTTGACCAGTTGCCTTGGCTTGAGAGATTTGTTTCTGTTATAAGTGATGATTGTTATAATGAATACACTCGGTGAAGCCATTTTCTTTTAGTGCATTTGAAATTGTTGAAAAAAATCAAAGGTGAATGTATGATCGGAAATTTTCTTGTCGGGTGTTTGTTTCTTTAGGGAATATATAGAAGACATGGACAATGAGAATCTAAAAAATTGAAGCTTTTATCAAGTCTATAATGGATTATTTGCTTTTAATAAATGATTAAATATAGTGTAGAATGGTAAAGTTGTATAGAAATTGGAATGTTGATAAGTGAAACATATTGCAAAATACAAATGCCTACATATCCATTACAAAATTAGTTTTATAATTATGTGAGTTTGTAATGTAATCCATATCACACTTATATTGAATAAAAGTAGAAAATAATCAACAAACAAATACAAATGAGTTTTCAAAAGAAAATCTTTTAGTGTCATAATTTAAATTAAGAAACCTTAGGGGTCCAATACAAAATATGGTTTTTATAAGGGGGTCTTTTAAAGTAAGCCATAATGTAGAGGGTGCGTGCGTAATTTTAGTGAATAATATAAGCCAAAAAAACCCCTAAAGAAGGGCTTTAGGAGAATCCTCCATCGCAACTCTTCTCACCTCATCAGATTACGCAATCTAATGGGCATTACTTTCGAGATTCAGACTGAAGAAACAAAATGTCATGTAAGTGATCTTGATGGTTGGTATGAGTTGACGTTTTCTTCCACTTCTGCTTTTGTGCTCAATTAATTTGAATTTGCTTACTTTTTAACTCAAAACCCATATGAGAAAGCTAGACATTGAATAAATTTGTGAATACCCTCTTGTACTTTTACAGAATTATTTCTGGGTAGTGTGAACTTTGCTATGCTTATTCGCGGGATAAGTAATCGTCGAATTTGGAACTCCGACATGATTTCTGAACTGCATCATTTGCTTTGCTCACCAACTGTTTGTAAAAATGCCTGTACTGGAACCGGGCTATCTTTCGTATCATTCAAAAGACGAAACTTTTGCATATCAGAACCCACAATTCGAGTAAAAGCTAGCGTCGTTTGTTCACATCCATCACAAGCACCTGTCAGTGGAAATCGAATTTCACGGGTGGTAAGAACAGAGGCACAAACTGCACTTTTTGATTATCTACATTTCACTCGAGGCTTCCATTTCACCGATGCAGAACACATCAGCAAGAACTCCCCTAATTTCATCCAAAACCTGCTATCAGTGGTTGACAACGATCAAGATGTATCACGAGCATTATCAAAGTACTTTCGGTATAATCCCATCAATGAATTCGAACCCTTCTTGGAGAGTTTAGGTCTACCCCCTTCTGAGTACCCATCATTACTTCCCAAATCATTAATCTTTTTAGGAGATGATTCTCTTCTACTTGACAATTTCCATGCTCTTTGTGGCTACGGGATTCCCAGAATCAAAATTGGCAAAATGTATAAGGAAACAAAAGAGATATTCGAATACGAGCATGGAGTGTTACTGAAGAAACTTAAATCCTATGAGGAATTGGGATTGAGTAAATCAACTGTTATCAAACTCGTAACATGCTGCCCTTCACTTTTAGTCGGACTTATTGATAATAACTTTCTTGTTGTTCTTGAAAAGCTCAAAAGATTTGGATTTGGAAGTGAATGGATTGGTACTAATATCTCTGAAAGAACAACTTTGAATTGGGACAGAATGCTGGACACCATGAGTTTTCTTGTTCAAGTGGGATACAACGATAAACAGATGGAAATTTTATTCACGGGTAACCCTGCATTACTCTTTGAAGGCTCAGGTAAACAAATTTACATCCTTGTAGCACAATTACTAAAACTAGGGCTCAAAATGAACCAAATATACGACCTTTTCTTGAAAAACCCCCAAATTCTATCATCAAAATGCGCCAAGAATCTATGGACAGCTGTCTGTTTTTTAACCGAAATCGGAATGGAAACCGAAAGAATCGCGGGAATCGTGACTACCCATATGGAAATTCTCGGGTCCACTTCTTTAAAATGTCCGATTACTGTAATGAACAGTTTGAAGCTACAACAAGATGAATTATGTCAAGCAATCAAGAAAGATCCTATGAAATTGGTGAATTTGGGTAGTAATAGTAAAACAATCGATAATCAAGATTCTAACACGATTGTGGAAAGGAAAAACTTTTTGTTGAGATTGGGGTACATTGAAAACTCTGATGAATTATCGAAAGCTCTTAGAAAGTTTAGGGGTAGAGGGAGTCAATTACAGGAAAGATTTGATTGTTTAGTGGAAGCTGGACTTGATTATAATGTGGTTTCGAGTATGATCAAAAGGGCACCTTCGGTATTAAATCAGACAAAAGATTTACTTGAGAAAAAGATTGATTGTTTGCAGAATCGATTAGGGTATCCATTGGAAGCTGTAGTGGCATTTCCCTCATATTTGTGTTATGATATTCAGAGGATTAATTTAAGATTTTCAATGTATTTGTGGCTTTTGGAGAGAGGTGCTGCGAAACCGAAGCTGTCTTTGAGCACTATTTTGGCGTGTTCGGATGCGAGATTTGTGAAATATTTTGTTCATATTCATCCTGAAGGTGTTTTTACATGGGAGAGTTTGAAAAATTCATTGAATTCGAGATGATATTTAAAGATTAAGACACTTGTTTTGTTTTTGTACTTTTATATGGCATTTTAAAGTATTTATTCCTCTCCAATCCAATAATATTTGCTTATTTTCTCATAGCTTGTTGATTGTATATCTATGATTTTTTTACCAGTAACATAACATTCTTTTCATGGATGTCCTTTATATCTATATACCACATATTGAAACCTACGTCTACACATTGAAACTTACGTATACACAAAAATACAATTTTTTAACAAAAAGCTCCCTGAACTTAGCAGGGATATACATAAATATACAATTTTCAAACTAAATTACAACGAGACTCCCCAATTTAAAGGTGCTTTACATTGACAAGTTCAATGTCAAAAATGAGAATCCCCAAGGTAGAGCCTTCTCCATTTGCAAGTCGTGTAGGATTAAAAATGGTAGTGAACAGCCTTTGCCTATCAAAAAACTTAAAACAAAAAAAAAAAAAAAAAAAAAAAAAGATAAATAAGTCAACATACTTACATTTTTTTTTATCAATAATAGCAATGTATTTTATTTCTACTTACAATAATAACAAAGTAGAGATGTAAAAGAAATGTAAGTATATTGCTATTATGGGTTTGGAAAGCTTACATCTGGTGGAATGGGCTCCTGAGACATGTTTTGATATCCTTCTGATGGGGGGATGATGACACGACGAATACCTCCCGCTTTCATGGATCTAACAGCTGCTTCAATCCCTGCTATCACCTGAATTAGGTTAACAAATCACTGTTGAAATCACAAGTAATCGAACAGAATCAAATAGAAAGAGAAATCGACTGATACTTACTTTGCCTGAACCAACAGTGAAGATGAAGGGAAGTGGTTCACCGGTTTCATCTTTGTGGTCGTATGTTGAATCAAACCGCCATCCCTGCTTAGCAGCTAATCGTCCGTAGTAATGAATCGCAACCTGTGTAGGAACTTTATCAGCAGTTTGAAAAGAAAAAAAAAAATCTCGGAATGAATTCAGAAAAAAAAACAAAGTGAAAGGTGAAACCTGATCGCCATTGACGGGAGAATCGCCATCACCAATTCGAAGATCCAGCGCCTTCACACCTCCAGATTCAGGTAGTTCGGAGAATTTAGGAGTAGCTGCGGCGGCGGCGGATTCTGAGCAACGAACGGAAGAGTCGCAAAACAAAATTGGAACTGAAAACGCTGCAGCGGTCACCGTCGCCGTTGCTGTTGCGAGAAGAGATAAAGTCCGTCTTGTTACCACCGGATGCGATTCACCACCGTGTGTGGTGGTCGGATGATGAGAGTTGCTGTAAGTACAGAACGTCACGTTTTGAGGAAGACGGAAAGATGACGTAGACGCGCCGTAGCTTAGCATCATCCTTTCCTTCTTTGCGTGTGTGGTTCTTCCACATTTTTGTTTGACTTCGCACCAGATATTTATTTACTATTTAGCCCTTTATCAAATCCAAATTGCATTGAAGATGAACTTTATTGTTAGATAACAACAAATATGCATCAACCAGTATTTTTTCAAAAAGTTTTAATGTCAAATTGTCAATATAGGATAATATGATCTGAAATGCATATCTATGATACCTAATTTTATACTTAAAATATGCAATAACCACCCATTAATATTTAATACGAAGACATTTAGAGTTCTTAAGATTGAAGCTTGTGAGATTTAACCAGAGACCACTATATTATTTTGTGAAATGCATATCTATCTTGGTGACTTATTTTCAAATATTTAATTTAAATATTAGAGTTTATTAGGTTTTCATAACATATAGTAGTACGTTTTGCATCTGTTTGACCATGTCAATGGGATAACAAGTGCAATTATTTATCCTACCAAAAAATGAGGAAGGAGTTGGGACATGCACTCACTCTCAATCTCTTGCTTCTACAAAAGACATTAATGCTTCGCATAAATGAAAATAGCCTTAACGAGATGTGTTCTATGAAAGAGCATAATAATAACTTGCTACCATGGAATTTCCAAATTAAACCACAACAACTTACTTTTACTAAAATATTACACTCAAACTTCAAATTCTAATCCTAGACATCACTAAATAATTCATGATTCAGGATCTGTAAAGTCCGAGAGACTATCCAACATTTGACTTTCCGCAGAAGCAAAAGACTCAGATGTTGTAATTGTGGACAAAGAAGATGGAGATCCATCAGAATCCGAGATCACTTCATCATGTAACTCATCATCATCTTCATCATCATCATCATCATCATCCTCATCATGTAAGATTATATGGTCTTCATCCATTTCAGAAGTATCAGTCCCATCACCTCCCATCAACAGTTTGTTTATTGCAGCCTTTGCGGTTTCAACAAACCATTCATCCTCAGGCAGTGCACTGGCGAGATTAAAAAAAATTAGGGTTGTATGCAAGAAATAGCAATGCACTTGCAATAACTGGGTATATTTTTCAAAGTAAAATTACTTAAATACCCTTATTACCTTTGTTGGTTTAGACCTCTGCCTGAGAATGTTCTGATAGCACGAGCAATTATAGATGATGCCATTTGGTGCACATTTCTTGAAGGGTAACCAGCAAAACGCGCGATTTCAACAGTGAAATGCATATCAAGAATCAACTACAAAAAAAAAAAAAAAAAAAAGTAGAATTAGTTATTTCTTGCTATTTCTTGCATTTAGCCCTTAATTAGTTACCTGTTGCAATCCTTGTGGCTGAAGTTTTGCCACTTCATTTTCTAAAACACCCCAAAAATCCTCTTCATTAGACATCACCCACATCACAACAGTTTCAGTTAGCCTTGCAAGCAACACTTTCTGTATCTTTTCTTTCCCAAGTAACACATCTCCAGCAACTGTTGCTAACTGCTGCAGCTTTCCAAATAATGCCTGCATAAATCCATGTTAACAACACAACTCAAAAGAAAGTGACAAAAATGTTTCCATTAATTACAAAGTTACCTGGAAGGGCAAGGAGGGCAAAGGATCAGAATTCCAATTAAGATCATCACCATCACCACATAAATAAATATTTGCATCAGGGCGTGTTTTCCCATCTCTTGAATATATAAAATTCAACACATATTGTCTACAGAAATGATCTCTAAGCTTATCCAGTGAATGCTGAAGCTGCTTCCTCCAGTCCTTATAATCTATCGCATTATTCAACAGAGGGGCAGTATTGTCATTTCCTGCTTCCTTGCTTTCGTTTAAAACACTCCATATTCTTGACATAACCATTGGTAACAGCTCTTCTGCAATGGTGAATGCAGTTCCCAAAAGGGCAAGTTGTTGGGAATCTGTTTCAGCTTTAAAAGGTACAGCTTCTTTTAACTCCACTAAACTGTCATCTTCAGAAGGTTCAGGTAAAGCTTTTATGAGTTCATCCATGTATTGATCAAAAAGTTTTAGAATTCTTGTTAAAATATTTCCTCCAAAGTGTAGGATGACTAGGCGCGTTAGTTGCTCCACTATATCCTGTAAAAATCATAAACAAATAATATAATGAAAGTAAATTAGTGCATTGATATTTCTTGCATTCAAATAAAGTCAACTCACTTTGACCATGAAGATGAAACGGGTCCCACTATCAACAAGCATCCCATCAGAAGATATAGCAAAAGTAGACAAAGGAGAGGCAAGGCGAGGTGACAATGGCAACATCTCATCATTTCCTGAAAAATCAAAAACTAATTTTCTTGCTCTTCTGAAATTCAATTCAAGAACCTCTTCGATATAAGGCTCCAAAAGCACTAAAAGCACTTTTGACAATTTTAGCCCTTGTGATTCCAACACTGAGCAGTGATTCAAACTAGCCTGAACACAAACACTTGCAGCATGTAAAGCTGAAACAGTTTCTGAAGAAGGGGCGTTTTCTTTAACCAATTTTACAAATAATTCAATTTCCCTTTCTGCCCATTGAACAAGTCGGTTGTAGTAAAGTAAATCATCTCCGAATATTGTTCCCATTTCTTTTGTTGTTGATGAGATTGTGGAAAAGATAATGTTGGATAAAGTGGCGGGAAATGTTTCCGGGTAGCACGGGCAGGATGGGAGAAAGATTTGGATGCTTTTTTGAAGTCGGGCAGCTTTTGATTTGAGAAAAAGATTATGTGCAAGAGGACCTTTTCCTAGCTTTAGTAGACCCAAAACTGCTACTTTTAAATCGGTTTGTTCGATGATGTCAACAAGTTGATTTTCAATTAAAGATTTTCGTTTTGAAAATTCATTGGATAATGAATCGGATGAGGTTTTAAGGTCAGGGTGTTTTTTTTCTTCTGTTTCTATTGCTTCTATGGCTTCTTCTACTTTATGTTCAGCTAGAAGAAGGTCTATATTATCTAAAGATGATCTTTTTTCATCTTGTGATTCATTTGGGAAGTCGAATTCGGTGTCTTTTTGAAGTTTCTCAGTGTTGTTGGCTTTACTCCATTCACTCAGTTCATGGTGGACCCCACTTAGTAAGTCTTGTACGAGGATTCCTTGTGCAGAGATGTTCTTTCTTAGGTCATTGAGTTCATGCTCCATTTCCACAACCTCATCAGATAACCTTTGAATAAGTGGAAATTAGAATAAATGCTTAATAGATTTGGATGTGTTTAAGATAAGAGGGAAAAGGAGAGAAACAAAAGGGAAGTGAGGGAATATTACCTCAGAAAAGCTAAGTATTTGGATTGAGTGTTGCCACATAGATTCTCTACTGCATCCTTCAAATCAAGAAGCTCAAAACAGAGCTTTCTAATGCCCTGCAAATAAAAGAAAAATGTATCCAATTACAAAACTGTATAAAGAAACATGTATAAACATTCACAAAACAAACAATTATTACTTAAACAGTATAATTTTTCATACATGTAACATACTTGAACTGAGTAATTCAGCAAAGATTTGAAACCTTGTTTACAATTTAAGCATCAACCTCACCAAAAGCTATTCAGCTTGATCAGATTTGTTTCCATGCAATTAATAATGTGTTGTTTCCTAGATGGATTAATAACTGAAAATGCTAAGAGTTCAGAAGAACTTGGATCTTACAAGTGGTAGTCTGAAAATAAGATATGGTCTGTTTATAAACTACAATGCCATGTGATTCATCTTCATATTAAAAAATACAGAGAAATTCATCGTTTAACTTTACCATGATTCTTGAATATATACATATCCTACTTCTGTCATTGAGGAGGAAGTTTTACAGCATTTATAAGTTATAACAGCATTTAAGATTCCAAAACTCAAAAATTTAGTAGGAAACTCAATCAGTACAATGCCAAAGGACTTCACAAATCTACCCAGAGCTTCTCATATATACGCATAAGAACTATTAATCCTTCAAAAATAATTGCGCTTGAGATAACAATAAGGATGCATAAATATAATGTAATCATCCTACGATCAGAATCAACTCGAGGCTTCTAAAATTAAAACCTAAATTTACTCACATTCAAGTATTCACATAAGATTTCTCCGTTTTTAGGTTTCCTTTTGTCGTTTTAACGCATTCGACTGTAACAATTCTAACAGATTGTGAACTTAAAAAAAAGTTGAAAATATGTAAGGATAATGATTCACAGACAAGGATTTGATACCTTTTCGGTTTTAGATTGAAAGATGGTGTCGATCTTGGATTGTGGAGTGACCGATTCAATAGATGGGAAATCATCTTCTTCTTCGCTGCTGTCCATTTCCAGTTCTGTTTTGACGAAACTCAACTTCAGTTGCGTCCTACACTTCCTACTCCACAACGGCTGTTGTAACTTTACTGATGCTTTTCTTTTCTGCAGCTTTCGATTTCAACTTTCGGTTTCAGTGGTCCATGGAAGGGACTTAGGTCTTTTCTCTCGAACCCGACCATTTACCCAACAATTTACGGGATCATGTATTGTATGCTATTGTTTTTTCGATATGATTTCTATTTTTGTTGTAAATAAATATATTGTTACTATTAATTAAGAAATAATAAATTTTATTTCAAATTAATATAAAAATAACTATTTTCTCGTAATAACTACTTCTTTGTCTAGATTAGGGATGAAAGTGGGTCCAACCCGGACCCGAGAAACCCGAAAATCTGAATTGATGGATTATAAGAACCGGGATCGGACCGGTATACGGAAACCGGTTTCAGGTACCGGACCGGATAAAATGGGTATGGAACCGGAATTGTATATTAGACTCAGAAATAACTAGAAACCCGGAAGTGAAACCGGAAACCTGAAATAGTGATCGTGATATTCATGGAAAATCAAAGAAAAGATAAATTGTGAACCTATCTTATTATCAAATTATTATAAAATAAACTTCAATTTATCATTTATGTGGTTTTGAAAAACATAATTTATTTTTTTGTACTATTTTTTTACCATATCTTTCTTATTTGTAAAATGAGACAAATATGTATAAACTAGTCTATTTTAGTGATTTTCAAACATAAATAAACCATGAAGCAATAACTATGTCATATGTTGCTATATAATAAAAGTTAATTAGATCCTACAACCAATATATGTGAAGGTTTTTTTACTACTAAAGTTTTAGTTTTCTTCCATCCACATATGAAACCAAAATAACTTTTATCCAGTTATCTGTTTAGTATTGTTTAGTATGTAAAATATAGTTTTTTTTTTCTTTCAGTGTCTTTGTTAGCTAGTTGAAAAAGTTCACTAATCAAACACTTATTTTTCACATGTGAAAACCTTTCTAGTTATCTACATCTTTTTTTTTAATTTTAATTATTATTTTTTTTTTTTTTTGCTTTTTATGTACATTATTTGTTTTAATACAACATATGTAAAAAAACGAGATTGGTTTTGTGTTGCTAGTTGATGTCGATGGCAGGAGAGGATCATATTTTTTTAATAGCCATTATCGTCAATCAACAATTCATCGGTAGTCAAATTTTTCGAGTAACCTTAAATTCCAGTTCCCTGGCCCATTAAACCGGTTCTTTTTTTTTTTTTTCTACAAATCCGGTTCTAATACCCAAAATATGTGGATCCATTGGATCCATACCCGAAATACCTGGAACCGGATAAGACTATTTTTTAAACCCAATATCTGGACCATTTAAGCATTTTTTTATTATACCAGTTCCGGTTTCGGTCCGGTTTTCCAATTTTATAACCCATCCCTAATCTGCATCATTCATGGTCTTAACCAAATCTTATGTCCACCTTATCACTAATAATATTAGTCAATTTCATTAAACTACATATCTTCTTCGTTTAACCCAAACAAATAGTGGGGAAGTATCTATGGGGCCAAGAGGGGCATCCCCCCCCCCCCCCGATTTTTGGGCTAGAAATACGAAATATATTTCGAAAAATTTAATTCCAGGTCAGTTATCTTTAAACTTGGGCTTTGGCCCCTCCCGAATCAGACTCCAAGTAGCAAGCATAGTCTGAATTCTCCAAGAATAATCCAGACTCTATAAAGCACAAAGCAAGCCAGCATTCAGACAATGAAAACTCTAACCATCATATTCCAATCAAATCATTCTATCCTCTAATCAGGAATCTGTACATGCAATTCAAAGGCTCATACAATCAGGCATAACCTAAACAGGCTATCCTATCACTGACTGATATGTACTAGCATGCAAGTCTACAAGCACATACAATAGGCATATAAGGCATCCTCCTAGATCCTTTGCCCTAATCTAGCATGCAGTTCTCATAATCATATCATAACATGTATGGGTATCTTGGGGAAAACTTACTTGAGCTCGGCCGATTGCACGCATCACACACCTTATTCTTTTCAAAGTCATTTTCTCTTTTCAAACTTCTTTTTATAAAATGATTTTACTTTTGAAAATTTTCATACCAAGCCCTTAGTTTGAGTTCAGACACACTCGAGAGTATGTCCGAATCCCTCAAACCAAGGCTCTGATACCAACTTATAACATCCCAAAAATACAGGCCAAAAATTTCATTTTTAAATACACCATTATAAAACCAACAATGTAATAAAACATCTGTCATATCATGTCATGTCAAAACCAAAGTAGAAATGATCAAACGTGTTATCATAAAACAATATCAGAGTGTAATCCCAAAGATCTCGTGTGCGGAAAACCATAGTGTGATACGTTGCGATCAAGCCGACTCCTTTCCTTTAAACACGAAGTACCTGAAACCAAAACTGAAAACTGTAAGCACGAAGCTTAGTGAGTTCCCCCATCATACCACATACCATACAATCACATATCATACATATTGCCAAGCATTTATGGGGTGCCCGACCTACCCGGTACGACCATTCTCGGGTGCCGACCTACCCGTGTCAAGCCATTATGGGGTACTGACTACCCATGTCAAGCCATTCTGGGGTGTTGACTACCCTTCGGTCCTGACGACCAAACCTCGGGGACTATTTCACCCCCTACTACTACTATCACATATATCATAACATAACATATTATCAGACATGTCTGGGGTGCCTGAACTACCCTTCGGTCCTAGAAACCGAACTTGGGGACTAGTCCCCTCCTACTACCTCTGTCGCATATAACGTAAAAACCCAGCATGCAAACATATCATCATATACTGTCAGACGTATCTGGGGTTTCTAAATACCCTTCGCTCCTAACAATCGAACTCTACTACTATCACATACAACATATCATGCTAGCATATAACATATCAGGTAGTAGCAAACCTAGATGATATCACAAAGACAATTATCTATCATACATCTCCTACTGGTGGGCTGGCATTATGGCCTTAGACCCACCACTACTGGAAGGTAACTCACCTCACACTGCTGAAGTCCCGAAGACACAATCCCACACTTGCTGAAGTCCCACAGACTCGACCCCAACAGTTGGCTAACAGATTCCCGAACTGTCAACACCAAAATAACACCCAATTAATAATTAGGTCCTAATACATAACCATAAGTATATTCTTTGGGTAATTACTACATTACCCCTAACTTAGCTTATTCAAGCCCAAGGCCCCCATCCATAGGCCCAAAGTCAATTAGAAATCAAAGCCCAACACATGGCCCAATTTTCCAAATTGGGCCTAGGCCTAAACATGCTCTCATTCTAAGGCCCAACACCATATAATCATTCAGGCCCAAACTATGGCCCAATTTTCCAAATTGGGCCCAAGCCCCTTACATGGGCCTTACACCAGGCCCATTAAATTATTCTAGTTCATTGGCTTGACTTTGGATGGCCCATTAATTACCAAACCCTCAAGGCCCAAAAGAAAGGCCCAACAATAAACCCAAGTGAAATTAGGGTTTCACATAAAATGATGATTAGGGTTAAGTTTCCTACTTAATCCATTAAGGACTTAATCTATTAAGGACTTAATCCATTAAGTCCATTATCGCTTAGACTAATCTTTTCCAAAGTTTATTATTTAATATCTCAAGTTATTAAATAATTCTCGTGTGTCTCGGTTAATTCCCCAAAATTAGGGTTTTGATGGCATTAGGGTTTTCCAAACCCTAATTAGGGTTTCCAACCCAATACTAGCCCATTTATTAATTTGTTGGGTTTTCAGATCAATTAGGGCTTTATTGGGCCTATTAGGCCCACTAAAATATTATTAAGCCCATTAGGGTTTTATTGGGTCCATTCGAGTCCATTAAGCTTCATTGGGCCCATTAGGGTTTTAGTCCCTTGTCCAAACATCCCCAAACTAGCAATCCCAACACAACTAAGCACACCGCCACCCGACACGGCGGTCGGTGGCGGCAGAAGGCGGAAGTCACCACCCTACAGTGGTGGTTTTTAGTTTCTTTTCATTATTTTTCTTTCCGGTTACAATTACACTACTTTAATCCAAAACTAAACACACACACACTAACTAACTAACTAACACTCACACATAATCATGGTGGTGTATGGTGGCAGCCACCTTTCTTTGATTTTTCCGGCCAAGCCAAACCACACACAACACACATTAATAACATCAAACACACCCACACATATGCTTCTGCTACAAACGGATCCAGTCATCAACCTAGCAGCGTACAGCGGCGGTTAATGACGGAAGAAGCACAAGACGGCGGCAATAGCGGTGTCAACAACGACGACCACCATGACCAACCACCATGGTGGTTCTCTCGGTTGCTAATGATGTCCGGCGACAGATGCAACAGTGATGCACACGTCACCGCCACCCACACGATGGTAGATGATAGTCGATGGTCGCAGCAAAAAGGAGTAGCCGCTCGACGTCTTAGGTTGGAATGAAAGCGATTGGTGACATCCGGTTCCGATCCTCAACCTCCCTTCTCTTCGAAAATGGCAACAGCGACAGTAGCACGGCGGCAAGGGTTCAACAGTCACCAACCGATGGCAGCTGTGAACTGCGACAAAAGAAGAGGAGAAGAAGAAGAATGGTGGTTCCTCACGACAACTGTTACGTTATTCACGTCATCGCCATCGACGGAGGCATCAGTGGGTCGAGCACAACAGGGAGGTGGCGGCCGGAAGTTGAAGATGGATAGTGTAGATGGCAGCTGATACACATGGTTCTAGGGTTAGGGTTACGAGGGCAATACAACAGTTATATACCGCATCTTAACAAACTTCCCTCCATATTGGCAGGAATGGCCCTTCTCCATAACAATTTCTTTCAAAATAAGGCCATATTTTACAAGACAGTCCCCATCATCCAAAATTCTTTCATAATGAGTCCATAAGTTACCATTTGAACCCCACCATCTGAAATCCATTACAAATTAGGTCGGAGTGATCAAGTTTCAGCCATGTTGACATTATTAGTCCCTCCTCCTCACATTCTTTCCAACTCAAATTCCAATAAGTACCACGGAACCCCTGTCTTCACAAATATTTATAAAATGAGTCCTGAACTCACACTTTTAACCCCAACTTCTAAAAATGTGGCAATTAACTTCTCGAAACCAACA